AAAAAAAAATTATTTCACCATTTAGTGGTATTGTCTGAAGGTCTATCAACTAGAGAGTATAAGTCTTGCCTCCTTTGAAAGCATGAAAATTATGACAGACTTAAGGAGCTGTCTTTGCTTATTCAAATCTTAGTGTCAATTATATAAATAAGGTATCTTTCCTGCTAAAACATAAGGATATATCCAAACATGTGATCTAAAAAAAGTCGTAATGAAAGGAAGTGATCTTTGCAGCAGTATATGAAAATGAAGTAATATAAACAGATTTACAGTATAATTTCTGTTATCTCTGGCCCTTGGACTATTATCTGCAAGTTTTCACATGTTTCTTGTGAGCATTGTCATTTTATTCCTGAAAGTTATTCTTTACAATTATAGGCACTAATGTGGTGCAATTGGTCCTGTGAAAGTCTTGTGGGATTGAGAGAAAGACAGAAGGGAGAGCTAGGATCAATTTATTGAAGCTTAAACATTGTGTCTCAAAGTAGTATTCAAATAGGATCATTCCACATGAATGTCTCTTGTTTCCTTCTCTTCAAAACGTTCTGGGCCACAGCTTCCTGCTTCACTCTTGCATTTTAATCCCCCTGCTTGGCATCACATCAGCTCCTGGCATGGCATGAATGATTTCTCTCATTGCCCCCTGAGGGCTTGGGTTCTGTCATCTGTGGCTGTCATTGCAAAGATGTAAATGAAAGCTCCTTTGAGGTAAATTGAAGTCAATGTAGCATGCCTGGCCCCCACCCAGTGGGGGTGTAAATGAATCACTCTTGGAAATAAAATATGCTCCTCTGCTTTTCTTGGCCTTCACAACTATACACCCACCTTTTCTTTCCTGGGTGCTCTCCAAACCGTCTTCGAACTGTGTGTCCAAATCTACTTCTCTACCCACCTCTGCCTCCCAGATATACCCAATTGGTATTTCCCTGCCTCTTGGAGGCCTTAGCCATTCCAAACTAGAAAAAACTTAGCTTTTCGTCAATGTGATTCTGGCATAAGCAAAGTTTGGCATCATTCTGTTTCTCTGTTTTGTAATCCTTCTTTTCATCTTGTTATCTCTCTCCTGCCTGTTCTCAAATACCAGTGCCTTGTGCAGATCCCTTATTACCCAGGACCGAACACCTTCTTACCCCTTTCCTCTACCCCTAGGAGAAAAGCATATAATCAGCTAATCCACACAGATACACTAAATATATTTTCATGTGAGTGATATCAAATTATCCCCAAAACAGGGATTTTTTTTTTTAAGAAGAGAAGATGATGGCAACATAAATAAAATACTATCTAATAGTAAAATCTAACTCTAAGCCAGGACGGGAATAACATTTTGAGGTAAATGGTTTTTCCAGGCATATCGTGTAACACAATAAGTGACCTGGGCACCTGGCACCTGCTCGGTACTCAGTAGTGGAATCAACAATGGGCTTCTCCCTTGGTACAGCTAAACTTGAACAGATTTCGAAAGATTCAGGCCCCTCTTTAGTACCCATTTTCTTCTCACCAAATAGAAATTCATTCAATCACTCCTCCTTTCATTCATTTTACACATCTTTATTGGGCACCTGTGTCATATATAATTCTAGTACTTGAGATATAACTCTCCTTTTAGGAGCCGTCAGTCCAGTGTGGAGATAGAAAATTACGTATAATCCAGAATGGCATGATACATTCCATGAGGAGGGTGTGCTATGGAGAAACATAAGGCTGGTACAGCTTTGGGTACCACTAGAGATGGTAATATCCAAGCCATGGTCTGAAGGGCAAGGAGGAAGTATCCAGGTGAAAGAGAGTGGTACACCAGAGAGGAGTGAGAATATAGAGATGTTGATGGTAGGGTGTTTAGAAAACAACAACCACAGCACCTGACATTTCTTGAGCACTTATGGAAGCCAGGAAGTATTCTAATGCTTTGCATGCCCTTCTACTGGCTTCAGTGCCGTCATCAACACAGGAGTTGGGAGACCCACCAAGCTCTATTCTCTGCTGCTACTACCTATCACCCAGAGCCTCACTACCACACTCTGCCAAGAAAGCTGCAGGACTAATTCAACTATGTTCTTCATCTGTGGCCATGGATCCCCATGGGAACCACAGTCAAATTATTTCTTATCACCTGGATCATCCCCACAAAACTCTCTGCATTACCGAACCTGACCCAACTTAAACATCGTCCTGATTTCTCAAACTCTTCCACAGTGTCTCCCTGGATGTGTCATCCATTATCATCAAAACTCACTACTTTTAACCCTATCTGGACGATCTCTCACCTCTTTGTGAGTTCTCTTTGTGAGCCTGCTCCCTCAGCCTTCCTCAGAGCGAGGGCTGTTTTTCTCCTAACTCCATGTATCACAGAGTCTGAATGAAGAGAAGAGGTTCTGTTTGCTCACTGCCACTTTCTATCAATTTTAACTCCTTCCTCCTTCTTCAAAGCCATGCCGTAATGAACCCCCATCTTCTTCAAAGCCATGCCGTAATGAACTTCTCTTTTTCATTGGAATGATCTAAAGGTCTCGGAGTCACTCACCTTTACTCTTTGAAGATTTTGGCACCAAGCGCATCGTCTCTCCCAAGCATCTCTCCTGACATAATGCTTGGTGATTTCCAAATCTGTGTAGAGGATCCTGTCCCACCCTGGCCTCTCACTATTTTGACCTCTTCTTCAATGATCTTGTCCTTCACCCTACCCGAGCCACCCATAGATCTTGCCCTTGTTGGTAACCACACACAACAAAATTTCAATGTCAAAGCTTTCTTTCTCTGGCTTCTACTTTTTTTTCTGTCCAGTTCACTCCCTCTAGTCCTCTGATTTCAGAAATTCCTCTGCCTCCCCCTACCCCCCCCAATCCATTGATTTTTCCATCTTTTCATAGTTCCTCACCCCTCATATCATCATCTCCCTCTATGATGACATGAGGAGTGAGGGACGCCCTCTCAGATCTCATGGTCCCTCACAGTAATCACTTCCTGGTGTAACCCTTCCCTCCCTTGACACTATTCTTCCATTGCGCTCGGCTGAATCATAAACTTAGTTAAATCCAACTCTCTGTATATTCTCTTCCTTCCCCCAAAGCAGCTGAATATGGCAAGATAAAACAATGTAAACAATGTAAACTAGCCTTATTTTAATTCCATGATTATTAACCTTGACCGAACCATTGGTCTGCCCAAGGATCCCTTGAGAGGCAGTATAGTGTGGGGAGGGCTTAGGGAGCGATATTTCCTGGTTTTGATCCTTATTTCCTGCACCATCAAATCTGGCCTCTTCACTGGATCGTTTTCATCACGTCTAGCTACTCCAGTAACCTTCTTTGTCCTTTCAACCTTCAGGTAGCAATGCATCTCTCTCTCCCCTTTTTATTGCAAAATACCTTAATGCCTCTACCTCCCATTTTCTCTTAAATCTGCTCTGATAATGTGTTTTCACCACTGCTCCTTCAAAATTGCTGTTATCAAGGTTATCAATGACTACTATATTGCCAAAATTATGGTAACTTCCCAATCCCTCTCTTATTTGATCTATCAGTGCCATTTGGTGTGGCCAATTACTCCTTGAAACACTTTCCTCGCTGGCTTCTAGCATACCACACCCTCATACTTCTTTTCTTCTTGACCACTTCTCTTCAGGCTCTTTTGCTGTTTAATTCTCATAGCCTCAACATCTGAAAATATTACAGGGCCCAGCATATAACACTTGGCCTGCTTTTTGTCTCTCATTATACTGACACCCTTGGTGATCTTCAGTTTCAAGAATTAAATACCATCTCTAAGTTGATGATGCCCATATTTATATATTTCCCTTGGATGCTCTCCTGGCTCATTTTGTCACTTCCTTAAGGTCTTAGCTTAAATTTTACCTCACAGAGAGGCCTTCCCAGTCTATTCTATATAAAATAGTGTCCTTACCCCATCACTCCATATCCCTTTACTCTTTTTTATTTTCCTTCATAGCACTTTTCCCCATCTGTCAAATATTTATTTGTGTATTGAAAGCCTTTTGAGAACAGAGAAATTATCCACTTTGTGGAGTGCCCTGTACATAGAAAGCTACCGACAAATGTTTGTTAAATAAAAGGCAAATTTTCTTTCAGTTCTGACAATACCCCAGCAATCTTATTAGAAGGGTTATTACAGACAAAGAAACTGAATCAAGTTAACTCATTGCCACACAGCTGACAATTCAGATAGTGTGGGTCCAGAGCCCACATGTTCACCTAGCATGTGGTCTAGATCACAAGAGTACTTTTACAAAATACGGAAATTTATCTTGATGATAACAGGAAACAACTCGGGTAGTCGTGGTTCTATGTCCTGAGTAAGGTGCTGACTCCATCTAATATGCACATAATTGCCTGTCTCCAGTTCCTAGGTCATCCAACCATGCCAGCTCAGAGGATGCCTTGGCACTTTGTTGCCTAGTTTAGGCTGACAGTGTGTGTGTGTGTGTGTGTGTGTGTGTGTGCGTGCGTGCGCACACACACACATATTTCATAGCATCAAACTGGCCTGTACTGACAATATTTAAGTCAGATTTAGCTAAGAGCTCCAAATCAACTTTACCTTGAAGTCTATGGAATTGAGAACCTTTCTTGCTGTGTCTGTAGCAGCCTGATAGTTGACATAATTCCTAAAGAAGCTTATATATTAATGCCCAAGAACCATTTACTATGCTCATGCACTGTTGACCCCAAATACCACCACGTGAGCTAGATAGTCTAGCAAAATATTAAGCTGTTTAAAGAACACATTATATTTCAAACTGTGGTTAAAGAGGATATGGTTTACAAAAATCTGATTAAATTAACTTTAAAAATATCTGTAATTTAAATACTTGACTTCTTTAAAGTTTAGTGCTTCTTAGATTTTGGTCTTTCAAGTACCTCATGTACTGGAGTTCTAAGATGCATAAGATTTCCATGTAGGTAATAAATGCATTCAGCTAATAGATGCTAAAATCGACCATGTTTCCATGGTGAAATGAAGTGCTATTTTCTGTTTTAAAGGGAACCAGCTGTTCACCCTCCAATACCCCCAAAGCCCAGTTCTCCTGCTTTATCTCCTAACCAGCTGAGACGGGATAATAGGTAAGACCTAGCACTCCAGAATTTCTTGCCAAAATGAAGAAACCCAAGAGAAATGAAAGCAAATGAATGGTGACCTGTTTTGTGCAAAGCATAGGTTTGTTTTGTGTGCACATTCATTGACAAAGCACATATAAAGCTTTGCTACTTCTGTTTGTCAACTGTTTGTTTATTTATGTTTACCTTTGAATACTTATGGCCATTACTTGTTTTTGGAAATACACCTTCAAGAAACTGAACAATGTCCATGTCCAGGACGTTCAGGTTTCCTCTAATTTATATATTTGGAAACAATACGTAAGAAACTTCTCCCTTTCTCTTTCTTTTTCTTTGCCTATAAATATATATGTTCACATGTACATATTCATATGTGTGTATATATAAATATATACATAAATATGTATATACATATATATATTTAGTTTATATTTACTTATTGTTAAGTTTCCCATTAAGAGCTGTAATTTCTGATGAAAAATATTTTTAAAACTTTGTGTTATTGCCCAAATCCTCCTTTATGTTAGAAATACCTTTGGGTAGTTCTTTAGTCTTGTTTTAGCTAAGGAATCTGTAATTTTTTTTAAAACTTGGAAATTTGAAAAATGTTCTAATTAACTCATCTTCAAATCAAGAAACAAAAAAGACTACTTTTCTACTTTGAATTTCTGTCACTCTATCTATTATTAATACTTAGAAACAAATTCAGAAATTTGAAAATCTTCCCATGGGTTCCTATTAAACTGTTGAATAATCTCAAACCATTTTTCAAGACGTACATTGCACATTTCCATTATTATTGTGAAATTAAAAAATAGTAAGTCAATGAAGATAATACATTAGATCCACCTGATTGCCTGCCTTTGATTCTTCTGTATTTTTGCTTTTTGATGGTAATTTTTTTAACAACATGTAAGACAATTTTACAACTATTCTTTAATAAGAGAGTAACTTCAGCTAGAAAATGCTGACTTGACAGCAGTGCTATGTGACATTAGGTGTTTACTCTAGTGAGTTAAAAACCCATGTCTGAATTTCTATTCAGTGAAACTTCACAGGACCTTTGAAATTTTGTTCTTAGGATAAGAGGATACATTTTTTAATGAGTCAAGAGAATATTTTTTCATTGAGTTAATAAAAAATATAGGTCAGATTTATAACTTTTATTTGTACAATGGTTATAATTATACTCTTAAAAACAACTCAAGCTTTTTATCTTACATTATTTTTTTCTTTTACAGTATTGAGCAATTAAATTGAATTTGAGTAGGATTTTTTCAGGGGGCTAAAATAAATTAGCTTTGGTTCCTCCCAAATTCTAATCTAAAATCTGCGACTAAAGCATTAAACATATGTAGATTCAAAAGAAGCTAAATTTCATGGGAATTGGTCTAATCCATTTTTACCACTCTAGTTTCTTTCTTCCACCAATGATCTTAAAAGTAAAATTAGGACAACTTACGTGTTTTAAATCCTGATTACTTTAATCACAGCAAGATGATTTTAATGAAAGAATATGAAAGGGAAGTGTTTCCTATGTAATTAACACATGTCCTCAGGAGTACAAAAAAATAGTTGAATATAGTTTCTTGAGAACAAGCAAGAATGCATAAGTAGGTCAATAAGATACTTAAAAAAACAGCAGAGAAAAGCTTTATATCATAAATTGAGGCAGAACCTAACATCATAAAATTTAATTCTGTCAACTCTTTGTGGTTGTTCTCAATGTAGTGAGTGTACTGGAATTTTAAAAATATTTCCCATCATATCTGAGCAAATATATTTCTTAATAGTATTCAAAAGAAATGTGCTTAAGAATAAAAAGTATCCCTCTGATGCCTCAGAACAAAAAATGATTCTTAATATTTTAAAATACTGTATCATCTAATAGAGATAAGTATAAAAATGATTTATTGATGATTGGAAACTAAAATAAAATGAACATATTTAGAACAGATATTTCTATATATATGGTTAAAAGGATATTAAAAGAGATGGGCTAAATTGCAAAGTTAGCATCTTGGACTCTAGAATTTCATATAGGATATGGCTGAGTTCTGGTGAACCAAAAGAGCTAAGGTCAAGTTTGTTATCTCAAGTAGTGCTATTGTTCCAGTACACTCCGGTCTTTTTGAACATATATGTTTTCTTATGAATTTTAAATTTAACAGAGAAGTGTTTTCTTATCTAACAAACATTATCTTTATCTTTTAAAATATAGGCAGATTTGTCCACCTAAAGCAGGTCGATATATGGAAACCAGATCTGCTGAAAGAAATATAAGGTATAAGGAACTGTATCTGTAACCATATATAACTGAAGAAATGATTAAGTATGTTTTATTAGAACACTTAAAAATACAAAACAATAGTAAAATAGATAAAATCAGTTTTCCAGCTGACGTTAATATAATGGATAAGAAATATTTTTATATGTACCTAAGAATTTTATTCTTTTTATTTCTATTTTAGGCTTTACATTAAGAAAACCAAAATTGTCTGAATGTATTAACAGAATAAGATGAAGCCCCTTAAGATAGGAAAACACTTCTTTATTCCCAGCATTTGTCTCAAGATCAATGACATAGTTGATGTTAATGTATAAATGAATAGGTAGAAATATAGTCATGTGTTCTATAAAAGCTTTTCCTAGAATTGGCTGTATACTAAGGTCACATCCAGCTCTGAGGTTTGCAAATTGTGCTGATGACTTTGAGTGAGGTTTCCCCATGACACTGTGATTTATTCCTGATGTCTTGCATACTCCGTCTAGTTTAGTATTTGTTTTGGATATACCTTGTTTTTATGTATATTTTTTTAAGGAAAAAAACACTATATCTGAAATTAGCTTTTGGACAATGCCATATTATAGATTTATCAATATGGTAAGCCAAATTTTTTATTATGGTAAAAAACACATAATAAGTTTACCATTTTAATCATTATGATAACACAATTCTTCAGTCAAAACTTTTTTTTTTTGACTGAAAGCATTTTTCAAAGTTCAAAACTTACACACTTTTAATTTTTTAAAAATCATCTCCTTTGACCCTCAGAACAGAACAGTAGAGTTCTCTGCCACAGACTCCCCAGAGTCTTCAGTGTGCTTACATAGCTTCTGAATCTCCAAAAGTTGGCTACACTTCCCAAATTTACTAGACTACAATTTTTTTTTATGGAATTCTATTAACCTTCTATGAGACATTGTTTGTGAAACGTAGGTCTTAATTACAGAGGAACCTATAAGGATTTTCCCAATTATTCCATTTCATGATCTAGAGAGATCAGCATGGATTTAGGTGTTACGTGTTACGTGCTTCCACATAGCCTATAGTTTACAATGTACTTTCTTTCTCTTCGGAAGCCTAAGAAGACAATTATTTTCACCCCGTATGAGGGGCGAATTAATCATCTGAGTATGTAACATAATGCTTCTTGGTTTTGGTAGAAAAGATTCTAAACGCACTTCTGTGTTTACTTGTGCAGTTAACTGTATTTTCTTTTTCATATCCTTTTTTAAGTATAGAACTTTGTGGCAGCCAATGACGTCATTAGGAGAAACTGTAGTTATTTTAGTGAGCACTAGATGGCAGAGGCAACACCAGGCGGAATGAGAGGGGTGTGTGTGTGTGTGTGTGTGTGTGTGTGTGTGTGTGTGTGTGTATGTCATAAGCTAATATGATGGAATTATTTTGTTATTCAGTTAGACTGAATAATTCCTAAATGAGACATGAACTATCGTTTTCTTCACTGAACACAGAGAAATTTTAGCTGCTTTACAGATTGCTCTACTGGCACTGACTTGTATTTATTTTTCATTGTTTGAAGGAGTCAGGATCTTGAGAACATCGTCAAAGTGGCTACTTCACTTCAGAAAACTGACAAGGGGTGAGGTCTTAGAGCTTTGAGCTTGGTTTTTTCTACTCTGTACATTTAAAAAAAATGCTTAACCAGTACCTTAAAGTTCCCAATATAAACAAAATCCCAATGTTGTTTATTATATAGAATTTCAAAGAAGGAAGAATTAGTGTCCCTAGATGTGTCATTGAAAGTTTGGTGGTATTGATATTTATGGATAGTTTCCTTCCTCTGCTTCCTCTTCTGGTGACCGTACACATCCCAGTGACCTTAGCTGTCCATGGTTTTGACCTAATTCCAAGCCACTCATCTTGTATTTGTGTTGCTTGTCCAGACCTCCATGAATCTGTCTCTCTAGCACTCTCATTTAGAATGTCCTAAGCCATATTCAACTCCCTTCTCAAATAGGTTATTTCCTGACTTCTCTGTTCTTCTATTCAGGCAAGCTCATCTTTCAGGAATCATTCTTTTCTCCTCTATGTAGTACCAGGCATGTATGGTCAAATGTCTGAAATGTCCCTCATGACCATGTGGCCTCACTCCAGTTCAAACTCTCATTGACTCCAGCATAGGTTATTAGAGTAGCTGTCCAGATTTACTTATATTCCTCCAGTCTCTCTTCCCACTAAACCTTTACAACCCATGATTACCAGAGTTCCTTTCTAAGATTCTGCTCGAACAGTCACTCCACTGGCTCTCTGTTGCCCATTCGATTACATGAAACCTCATTCAAGGCCCTTGCTAACCTGACTCTCCAACCTAACATTCCAGAGTTCTTTTTTTTTGGTCATTTTGTTTTAGGTGAACTGACCCCTTTCAGTATTTCCTATAATGCAGGTCTCGTAGTGGAGAATTCCCTCAATTTTTGTATCTCTGGAAAGGTCTTTATTTCTCCTTCATATCTAAAGGAGAGCTTAGCTGGATATATTATTCTTGACTGGTAGTTCTTTTCACTTAATAGTTTGAATATTTGATTCCACTCCTTTCTGACTTGTAAGGTTTGTACTGAGAAGTCTGACAATAATCTATTAGGTTTTTCTTTATAGGTTACCGTCTTCTTTTCCCTGGCTGCCCTGAGAATTCTGTCTTTGTTGTTGATTTTTGATAATTTTAATACAATGTGTCTCGATAAAGGCCTTTTTGGACTGAGATAATTGGGTGTTCTGTTGACTTCTTGAATTCCAAGCTCCAGCTCATTCCTGTGGTAGCTCTTATGCACAGATCCCACGCTCAGACATGCTGGTGTGCAGTTTGGGTATTTTTTGTTGATTTTTAGATGTTGAGCTTATTGTTGTTTCAAGGGGAGAGATCTGGGGACGTCTCTTACTCCGCCATGTTTCTGACGTCCCTCCGGAGTTATTTCTGACTTCACCTTTACAGTTACCCTACATTCAATATCAAATCAAATCACTTTCTTTCCACAGTTTTTAGATACTCTGTCTTTTTTTTTTTATGCCATTCTATGCAATGGCAGTCTTTTTCATCCTCAAAGCCACCATATTAATCTATCCAAATCCTACCCATTTTTAAAGACCCAGATCAAATATCACCTCCTGTGTGAAGTCTTCCCTGAGTGATTTAGTGAGATGAGACTTCTGCTTCTCCAAGCTATTAGAACCTCATGATTCATATTTTATAACAGCTAATCATATTTGTTTTTTTCATGTTTATGTAAATGTCTCATTGTCTCTCTATCATCTCCTAAATCTCTTAAAGCAGATATTTTGTCTTATTCACCATATGTCATTTACATTTACTGAGTCTGATATGATGCTTTGTACAAAGTAGGTGTTTCTATAATAGAGTATGACAAAATAATGATGAGCAGTGAGAAAACCTTGAGTATAAACATTTTGTAGTTTAAACCACATGCCTACAATTTTTTTCCTTGCTTAATTGAATTTAGCAGTGCTTAGAGTGTTATTAGGAATTGCAGTCTCAGTCAAAAGAACTAAAGAGAAGAAACAGAAGTGACGCTTGGTTTATCTATGCAAATTAATAAACAAAAGAGAAGCTCTGAATCCAGACGGGGACTCTAGAAAGTCTCCTGAACGTTTCACTTCCATTTCTTCTCTCATCTAAGTGCCTGGATCTCTGATTTTATTTACTTATTTTTGTTTGTGGTAATATTTTGTTTTTACTAGGGATTAAAAATAGTTTTTGGTGGGAGATAGGGATGTTTAAAGGAGAGATATGTGAGTGATGCTGAAGAGAAATTATTAGTTTGTCATAAATCAAACAAAAACAATGAGAGCTGCGATTAGTTTAACTTTCCTGCCCATTCTCTCTAGCCACGATGCATGAATTCCACAGCCAGAAACATTTTTCACAGAGAGAAGCTGCTGCTTTAACAGGGCCAAGGGGATATGTCTGTTGCATCGATAGCCAAGTATTGTTACTGTAGGACATCCATACGAATAGCTTTATTTTTTTGAGCTGCTCTTTGTGGTATTTCTTTGTGAAATGGACTATTACTCTTATATAATTAAATGTATTTAATTTATTGCAAATGCAATGGTGAAACTTAATATCCAAAGCTTTGATCAATTTAAGATCATTTTAAAAGCTGAACTTTTTCATTCAGATGCAGTCTCCATTTGTTTAATTTATCACAGAGTACCCTCTCATGATTTATGCTAATTTTCTTGTGATAAACATGAGCAACCCCAAACCCTGATAATCTCATCATTGTGACTCACACCAGTCAGAAAGGTCTGTGGCTAAAATTTACAGGATTCTTAAGTCTGCTCT